AAATTGTTCCCTTAGTGCTATGAACTGGTTTGAAAAGTCATATTTACCTGTCAAGGGCACTGTAGCCAGATTTACGTGCTTACCAGCAGAACTGCAAGAACTTCTTCTCTGGAGTTGCTCTAATTTTCAAGATTTAATCCCCTGGATCAGACACGCACGTAGCAGTAGCAGAGGAAGCACTTTAACACCCAGCAGAATTATTTAAATCAACTTCAGCCACATCAGATATTAGCAATATTAAAGCAGTTGCCTCGAGCTGATCTTCTCCTCATCTCCAATACTCAAATTGTACTAATAGAGATCTTTGGTTTTGTTAAAAAAAAAAACCCAAAATATATATGTATTCTAAACAAAAATACAATCAAAATGTTTTGAATGGGCACTAACTAGCTGACCAAATAGCACAAATGTGCCATTGCACCTGCTGATGGAACGGTTAAACCACAGAAAAAGCGGTTTTGACTGAAGAGATAAAATTACAGGAAAGAAAACTTCAAAGGGGCAGGTTTCACAAGTTCTTAGAGCAGTTTTTGTCTCTGGGCAGAATTTGGGAAGGATTTCAGGTGCTCACATAATTAAAGACACAAAAGCTATTAGCAGGCCAATTGCTCTGAACATCATAATACCATGAAAAGCTGTTGCTGAACACAAGATACTACTTTTTGTACTTAGGAACTGAACTAACATTTTTAACATACAGGATTTTAAGCCCTTTCTATAGCGATTGCCAGCACATCCCACCTTCCCAACACCACTTAATACCAAAAGGTCTATTTTTCAAAGTTTAAAGAAAAGGAAGGAGAGAAAACTAAGAGAATACTAAATATAAATCTATTCCCATTAGTGCTGCAAACGTGCCGAGAGTTTGATTATGGAGACATGTCCAGAACATGACCTCAGATGTATTTGGCCCATCTTAAGTGTTATGTGAAAGGTGAAACGTGTTACTGTATAACCTATTACTACCAGCTACATAATATTTAGAAAGCCTTTAAGTGACCTCTTCTCAGGAAACCTAACAATATGGCCAAGGGACAAAAAACCCTCAAAATTTTAGCTTTCCAGTTGGGGTGGTTAATTTGTGTTAGTTAGCCTTTTTAAAAACAAATGGCTGGAAGAACATTCGTCATTTCCATATGGCTTGAATAACTAATTAGCACCACTATGTTTGCCTGAGGATCTTGTCCCTGCCCCAAGACAAGAAGGTTCACGAGCTACAGAGGTGCTGAGAACTTCCTTACGTAAAGCTAAGCCGTCTGCATACTTAAACTTTTCCTCCTGCCTAATTAACTTGTAAATCCATCTAATTAAGCATCTGAGCACACAGGCACTATTTTAATCCAACGCTCAAAAATTTTTCTACTGTTCACACGCTCTGGCATTCCTAATTAATTTTTTTTTTAATCAACATAATTGGAGCCAAGCACATGTTTTTCATTAAGGCCTATTCACAAGCTTCAGAAGTTTTAGCTATTCACTTCTGAGAAGTAAAAAAAGAAATAATTTTAAAAAAAAATCATTTCTTCCCTAAAAAGCAGTTTTGGTAGAGGTCAACCACAGAAGTTTCCATTTTAAGAGTTAAGGGTTGATCTAGAACCTTCTCTCAATTGGTGTTCACACTAATTAGCTGATTACAGTGTCTATGCAACACCTGGCAGCAGGTTACCATCAGAATAACTGGGATACAGATACCACCATCACCAGGACTTGCTTCCTTTTTTTTTGGAGAAGTTTAAACCAAGCCAGGACAAGCTGTTCTTCATATTCATGTGTCTTGTGAAAACATTAGGAAACCACACGCGCAGCTGGTGGATTTTTACTCCAGACAAATATCATTATGGTGAGAAAGTCTTCAAAATGTGGGATTTATGTGATCACCTTTACAGTGCAGACACCTCCCCATTCTCTTTATGCCCCTGTACTCGGCACTGGGGAGGCCACACCTCGAGTATTGTGTCCAGTTTTGGGCACCTCAATCCAAGAGAGATCTGGAGGTGCTGGAGCGAGTGCAGAGGAGGGCAACGAAGCTGGTGAGGGGGCTGGAAAACAAATCATATGAAGGGCGGCTGAAGGAGCTGGGGCTGTTTAGTATGAGGAAGAGGAGGCTGAGGGGAGACCTCATCACCCTCTACAACTACTTGAAAGGACACTGTAGAGAGGTTGGTGCTGGTCTCTTCTCACAGGTAATTAACAATAGAACGAGAGGGAACGGCTTCAAGCTCCAACAGGGGAGGTTTAGATTGAACATTAGGAAGGAATTTTTCACAGAAAGAGTGGTCGGGCATTGGAACAGGCTGCCCAGGGAGGGGGTGGAGTCACCATCCCTGGATGTGTTTAAGGGACATTTAGATGCGGTACTGAGGGATATGGTGTAGGGGAGGACTTTGTAGAGTAGGGTAGATGGTTGGACTCGATGATCCCAAGGGCCTCTTCCAACCTCAATGATTCTATGATTCTATGACTTAGACAGAGATTCATTTCCTCCCCAAGTACATGTCCTGTCAAATGCATCACAACTCAAATCACACCCATCTCTCTCTGCCAGCTGTAAGTGGAACATGCTCTCACAAAGGCTGTCTTTGGGATATTCACAGGGTAGTTTCTCAAGGCTGGACTCCTGGAGGAGGTGGCAAAGCACTCTGCCTGGTAGGAGGAAAAAAAAAGATACCTGACAAAGAAGAGACATGAAATTATTTTAATAGAAATCAACACTATCACCAGTCTTTTGAGATAGGTATCAAAGATAAGCAGCAGAGAAAGTGCACCTGCAAAAAAGCAGAGTTAAAGTGAGAGGGAGGAAAAATAATTCAGGATTTCACATAGGACTTTGCCTCAGTTTCTAGAGAACTTTCCTAGCTAGGCAGGAAACAGGTAAAAATAGCACGTACGTACAGTCACAAATTAGACTTCTAACTTTTGCTGGAACTAGACAATGCAATATATACTCCTTAAAATGTAGGATCCACTGAAATATAAGCAGCAGCAGGCCTGGTGGTGAAGATGGGAAAAAAATTATTCCTTTTAGGACAAAGCAAAAAGAAAGGAGGAACATCTTAGCCCCAAGTCTGGGCTAAAGGTGCTACACCCAACAGTCCAGAAACTGTAAGAGACAAGACCTGGAGTGAACAGAATCACAGAATGATGTGGGGTTGGAAGGGACCTCTGGAGATCTCGTCCACCCCCCTGCAAAAGTAGAGTCACCCAGAGCAGGTTGCACAGGAGTGTGTCCGGGAGGGGTTTGAATGTCTCCAGAGAAGGAGACTCCACCACCTCTCTGGGCAGCCTCTTCCAGGGCTCTGCCACCCTCAAAGGGAAGAAGTTCCTCCTCATGTTTAGGAACCTTCCCAGGACCAAGCAAAGTGCACAGCTCCAGCAAGGGGAGCTTTATCAAAGCTGAGATCTTCATTTCTCATCAGATTTATGATAGACAGTCAGACACTGTCAGACGAAGGAACCCAGCTCAGATTAGACAGGTTAGAAAGGGCTCCAGTCAGTCAAGTTCATGACCTGCTGGTATAATAGTGGGGGTTTTTCTGGAACGTGCTTCATACTCCAAAGAAGTAAAAGGAAATGTGAAAGAGACACACGAACAAAGCAATCAGGAGGACCAGCACATGTTTTCTTCTCTCTATTTAACAAAGACTTAATGTTAAGCAAGAGTTTTCTTCAAATGGACTGTGCCTGAATGTAACCAGAACTTCACAACACGCCCCCTGCTTGTTTTCCGCAAGCACAGAAGAAAGACCTTTAGAAAGCAGCTTTTAGTTTAAATATGCTTTACAGAATCAAGAAACAGCACATTTAGATTTTAAGAGAGCTTATAAAATAAAGTCTTCGGAATAAGCAACCTCGGGTTCGCTTTTCCTACCACCCTCTTCACTGTAGCGTCCAGAGCTGATGCTTCCTACAGGCAACAGTGACACCTACTGCTGTCGCTATCAACTGCATTCAACTTTTACAACTGGTTAAAAAAAAAACCCACATTTTTCCAAAGACATTTCAAAGCTTTTCAAGGGTTTCCTTTGTAGCACATCTATTGCTGCTACTGCAGAACCGAAGTTATCAACCTGTCTTGTCATTTTTAAATACAAATCCCTCAAAACCAACCTACACACAGTGTTTAAAACCTTTATCTTTCCCCACAGCTAACATTCTTGCATTGTTATAATTAAAGCAGATCTGAAAAACATCCTCTTACTTACCTTCATACTAGCATTTTGTGGTTTTCACCACCACAGACACCTAAGGAACCACCCAAAAGTGCAGTTTCCATACCTTTCTTATACCAAATGTGTTGGATTAACTAAATGATGACTATGCAGTGCCTCTTTTGGGGACTACAGGAGAGCATTAGGCAAAAGGTAAATTTAATTCAGTGGTTCAACATTAAAAAAAACCCCAAAACTACACACACACACTTAGGTGTGTAGCTGTTTTGTCTTAACCACAGCATCATTCTACCAAGTTAAATTTCGCCAAGTTGCTTATTTTCTGTTGTTAAAATTTACTTAAATAATTCTTAATTTCGAACCCAAAACTACACACACACACACTTAGGTACATAGCTGTTTTGTCTTAACTACAGCATCATTCTATCAAGTTAAATTTTGGCAAGTTGCTTATTTTCCGTTGTTCAAATTTATTTAAATAGTTCTTAATTTGATTGAGGAGAACAGAGTAGGGTCTTCCACAGAAGCTTTCCAACAGAGAAGCTCAACAATTTCAACATTCACAAGGTAAGTCCACGGGCCAGCTCTAGTTCAGAGCCCTCAAGCATCCACATGGCAGAAGCCTAGAGACCACCAAGGAACGTACATCAAGACCCATCTCCTTGCCACCAGTGGTTAATCAGCACTACCTAGATATTCCACCCTCAATTCCAGTCCAAAAGGGTTTGGTTTTGTTTTGTTTTGTTTTTTCATTTGGAAATTCTCCTTACACACACACTAAAGAAACTACAATAGTTACAAAGAATATTCTCAAAAAAAACCCCAACTTACCTAAGCAAAGAGAAGACATCATAAGAGTTACGAACACAGTTCTGATCCACCTGGAGAAGACTGTTCTTCAGGGTACCTGAGTGATCCTTAAAGCAAAGAAACAATGTTAATTTAAGAACAAAAATTATTCCATCTTTACTAAAAACATGCCCTTTGGTAGGATAACAAATGATCTTGTGTTCAATGTATTTTAAATCTGTCTTCATACAGTTTTTTTTTTTTACAGTAGGTAGAATCAATTTAAGGCAGCAATAACACCAAGAGAAAGTCTGCCCAACAGCAGCAATTACCTACGAAGATGTTAATGACCAATCAGTTTATCTCTGTTCTAGACATGGAGTGTGTTTCCTTTAATATTATAACCTATTACTGCACAAATTTTACACACAAAAATACTGAAGGGTGCAACTTACAGCACTACCAGGCTTCACCTTCACTTGGAATCACAGAATGGTTAGAGACGGAAGGGACCTTAAATGTCATCCAGTTCCAACCCCCTGCCCTGGGCAGGGACACCTCCCACCAGACCAGGTTACTCAAAGCCCCCTCCAACCTGGCCTTGAACCCCTCCAGGGATGGGGCAGCTACAGCTTCTCTGGGCAACCTGGGCCAGGCTCTCACCACCCTCACACCAAAGAAGTTCTGCCCCACATCTCAGCTCCATCTCCCCTCTTTCAGGGTCAAACCCTTCCCCCTCCTCCTAGGGCTCCTCTCCCTCATCAAGAGTCCCTCCCCAGCTTTCCTGGAGCCCCTTCAACGCCTCCTTCAAGGTCTCCCTGGAGCCTTCTCTTCTCCAGGCTGACCCCCCCCAACTCTCTCAGCCTGTCCTCCCAGCAGAGGGGCTCCAGCCCTTGGATCATCTCCCGGACCTCCTCTGGCCCCTCTCCAACAGGTCCACGTCCTTCCTGTGTTGAGGACTCCAGAGCTGGACACAGCAGATCCAAGAGCCCATTCAGTAACATGCCAGATATACAAGACCATGAGATAAAGCTCTGTTCTTTACCCATGCATTAACATCCTTAAAAAAAAAAAGATTAAAGCAATATTACTTTTAAATGATTTGAACAAGATTCTGGAAGTTACAAAAAGAAAGCCCACCACCTTATGTCATTTTTAAGAGACCTAAATGTACAGTTTGCACAAGAATCATCAAAAAAACCAATTCTTCAGGCTGCAAAGGTCAGATAACAAGCTTTTCCCTATCAGGCAGAGTCACACAAATTCCTAGAAATGCCACAAACTCAGAAGTGTTTCTTCACATGATAAAGCGAATTTTAAGTAGGTCAAACCACCTGGCAGCATTGTCAGAAACTTCACAGAAAGTAGGAAAAATGGCATTTATTTTATGGTATGAAGTAGCCCCAGCTGGTTCACGTGATGTGATAATTTTCCAACTGTGATACAGATTTACCCCGAGTACCAATCTATGCCTACATATTGGAGGACTGGGTCCAGTTCTGGGCTCCCCAGTTCCAGAAGGACAGGGAACTGCTGAAGAAGAGTCCAGTGAAGGCTACGAAGATGAGGGAGTGGAGAATCCCTGCTGAGGAAAGGCTGAGAGACCTGGGGCTGTTCAGCTGAAGAAGAAGAGACTGAGAGGGGATCTCACTGATGTTGATGAATATATAAAGGGTGGGTGGCAAGAGGATGGGGCCAGGTTCTTCTCAGTGATGCCCTGTGACAGGCCAAGGGGCAAAAGGCACAAACTGGAACATGGGAAATTCCTTCTCAACATGAGGAAAAACCTCTTTGAGGGTGGCAGAGCCCTGGAAGAGGCTGCCCAGAGAGGTGGTGGAGTATCCTTCTCTGGAGACATTCAAACCCCACCTGGACACGTTACTGTGGGACCTGCTCTGGGTGGACCTGCTTTGGCAGGGGGGTGGACGAGATGATCTTCAGAGGTCCCTTCCAACCCCTGTGATACTTTCCTGCCCCACCAGGCTGTTTCTATATAAAGATGTTGAAATGCAGAGTTACACAGCAACATCTACTGACACAACTCTTAGCTACAGGCCACACAGCAGACATTCCTCTCCACCAAAAATAAGGTTCCACCTAAATAATAATGAGATCTATACACTATATTATGGTTCCTCTATTGCAATACGATGCATATGAGCAGCTGTCTCAGCTCCTCATTTCCATTCTCAAGATGCTAGATCCTACCTGCTGAAATCTACACATCTATCCCCTGAAAAAAAAAAAAAAACAGAATAAAGGCATCTTGATGCCTGAATGAACCAGATGGTGAAAAACTGGAAAAAAAATGCACAACTACCAGTTTTACACCATGAAGTTGGTCACGTTTCAAGAAACACTGCCTTCAGAAAGCAAAGGATAGAATTTTTCAGAGAATAAGTGGAGTGGCCCAGAATAACTAGTTTCAGGAGGGAAAGAATTTGGAGCAGCAACATATTTCAGCCATTTCTTTGCCCCCCTGTACTACATCGTGTTGAAAGGAAAACCCCTCCCAGAGTCAGACACCAAGTGGTCAATACAAACTGTTCAATCCTAAGGAAATTTGCAGAACATGCAACAAAAGGGTTTCAGCCCTAGTTATTAAAGAAGTTTGCCCTTTGAAAGGGGAGTTTGTCCACTTCTCTGCCACAGAATTATATACAGGTCCGTGTATTTGCAAACACACAAAAAGGCTTTCTTTGCGCAGAGTGTTCAGAATCTAGCAGCTAAAAATAAAAAATAAATAAATAAAGATGCCTATGTGGGGAAAGACTCTACCTTCAGTGATGAAGGGCACATACAGCACAGAGAGAAATGCAACTTTCCAAAGATAAGGGTCTTTCCTGCCTGACAGCTGCAAAAGTAGCTATAATCCAATATCCTTGAAGAATATAATTTATTCTTCTATATCCCTGCACCCCTGACCACAGACAGATGTTGAGTTATGTAGACCTGTAAAGACTAGTTCTGGTTTTATTTCTTTAAGGAGACAACAGAAAGCTTATCATTAACTAAAAGCTACACTTGCTTCCCCTAAATACACTTTCTGAAAAGGTATCACTGCAAGAGCAAGTGCAAGCCTTACCAGTTAGTAGCAACAAGCGTAAAATGGTCAAAAGAAAATGTGAAAGCCAAGAAGGCACTGAGGAAACCAGAGGAGAAACCTGGTTTTTAGGAAAGCCAGTGTAGCACCCAGAACTGATTTGATTGAACTTGGGTCAAAAGTGGTTTTACCCGCAAGGACACAGTCTCAGACAAGACCAAGAAGATTCAGAAAATACCTAAAGGAGTGGGAATCCTTTAAGTCCAAGCTGACAGCTTCAAAAATAAAATCTCTGAAGCTGACATTTATTTTTTTTAAAAAATCAGCCCAATTCAAACAAATCTAAACAGAGTTTCAGTGTATGATTATGAGAAAAGATTAAACTAAGAGTGCTTCAGTGGTTCTACACCAGAAAGTAACCAGGAAAATAAATTGGATGTGGTTGTGAGGAAAGAAGCAGAATCCCTCTGAAATCCCCAAGCAAAATTGCTGTATAATTTACTACAAAATAGCAATAAAAAAAAGCTTGAACAAAACTAGTGAGTGATGGTTTTTGTCAGTGTTAGGTTGATGGTTGGACTTGATGACCTGAAAGGTCCCTTCCAACCTACACGATTCTATGAAAAGCAGAAGTTGGAGGTAAAATTATGTGAAAGTCAAATGTAGTTAAAAAACAAAACAGCTTTATTGGCAGCACACACTTGTATTTACACGGAGAAGAAAAGCTGTAAATGCTAGAGGAGGAGTTACACGAGGACTGTCACACACCTACAGTAAAGCAGTAACATCCTTCAGGGCACACAAGGTGCACACAAAGGCTTTTGAAACCTTATTTCCCAACTCTTTTTTCTTGCCATGAGCTAAGTATCAATTGCAGCAAGAAAACTGCAACCAGAATAAGAATATGACCCAAAGAAAATATTCATTTTTTCATTGCATATCAATAACAGCCCAGGTGCTGCTGGACAGAAGACACAGAAGAAAGGTAAAATTCCATATTTTTTTTCCAGTATTGCTGCTACAGTTTTCCATTTTGCTCCTTTAGATGACAGGAGCTTCCTAGAAAGCAAGTGTTTTCAGCACAAACCTGCATTTTTAAGGTTACCTTGTATACAAGTGGGTTTGAAGGTTCTAAAAGAGCAGCTAAAGTGCATTACCTGGTGAGGCTATAAGCTGCCAGTGCTTCGATTTTAAATTTATTTGAATATTCCCATTTGAGAACATTACTCTCGCTGGTTTTGTTTGCCAAGGGGATAGCCATTTAATCAATAAATTTACAATTTTCACCAATAAAAATCATAGTTGTTACACTGCCTAATGTCCCTGTCCTACTTGCAGTTTATTCTGCTACTCTCTTATGACAGGTAAGTTCTCAAAATTCAGGAAACATTGCCAGAATTGTTTGGTCAGCTTCTAAAAATTTTCTTATTTTGGCTCATAAGTGGTCTTAATTAACAACAAAGACATTAAATACACTAATAAAATGCACTTTATTCTAAGATTGCTTAAATCTACTCCAGCAATTTAATTCACAGGCAAAAGAATTGAAGTAACAAGGGGTTTTTTTGAGCAACGAGGGGAAAAAAATAATAAAATAATAAATAAAAGAGTACCATACCTAAATGGTCATACTGAGATGGGCAACAATAAAGGACACTTCCAAAATAGACTGAAGTATCTTCGTGCACAAGATTTTCATTAGACTTGCAAAATGGTATTTGTCCACATCTGCTTTCATAATCAGGTTTTATATGTGGGAGCGTAAAGAAACTAAAACTGCTATTTCATCCACGTATTATCTCAAAAATTGAAATTTACCACTAAGATGTCTTCAAGTATTATGAAGACCTGTCACCGCCACAGAGAAAAAAGCATCTCAAGAGATTAGAAAATACCCATATAAGCAAGCAGGAAAGGTATTGTATTGCACTTTCCTGACACCAAAAATCCCTTCCTACAGAAGATTTCGGGTGGCACTTCATAAATAATATTTAGTATAACCAAAGTGGGGCCGTATAATATTCAGAATATCCAGAATTGACAGGAAAATTATAAAGCAAGACCAACGAAGAGCAGAAATATCCTTTAAGTGCACAGAGCTGCTGAAGGCTACAGGAAGAGTTGGCTTGTGCCATCTAGTTTGGGTTGAATGGCAGATAAGTCATTTAAATAGAGGAGGTATGTTCTGTGTAAGAAGTGATTTAGGTGAAGGAACTGACAAAAAAAAAAAAGCAACTGGAAGCCACAGAGCAGGGTGACAAAATAAATCCCTAGCTCTTGCAGCCAGAAAGAGCTGAATAAATTATATGAAAGGACAAAGAAGGAGATTATTTGTGCTCTACATCGGCTACAACTGTATCTGCAATTTAGCTACAGAGCTTGTACAAGAACCAAAACTGAGAGGTACTTTTAAACCTTACGAGCTCAGAAGCAAGACCTGACAGCAAAGGATCAGGGAAGAGGACACTGAATTCAGGCCCAGATTATTAATACTGAAATCCTGAAAAACCAGAATTGCCTCCTGCTTCAGGAAAACTGAACTGACAGCACCAGGAAGATGAGTCCAAGCTGTGTCCCAAACCATCTACAATTTGAAGGAAAATCATCAAAATACCATAGTCTGGAGGCTTGCATGCAGCCAGAGAGTTCTGAATGTGGCCACCTTGTCCCTTGCAGCACTCTCCCCACATACAAATGGCTACCCAGGGTGTTGATATGAAGCCACTGCCTCCATTTGCATCCCCACAAGACTGGACTTGCTGGTTGTGGCTAATGCAGAAACTGCGTGTCAAGGAGTCATCTTCTCTCCAGCCAAGAACTCCATATGAAAATCTATCCTGAATTTGGGCAATCCCAAGCACAAGTGCGGGTGTTGATATGAAGCCACTGCCTCCATTTGCATCCCCACAAGACTGGACTTGCTGGTTGTGGCTAATGCAGAAACTGCGTGTCAAGGAGTCATCTTCTCTCCAGCCAAGAACTCCATATGAAAATCTACCCTGAATGTGGGCAATCCCAAGTACAAGTTTAGGCTGGGTGGAGAATGGCTGCAGAGCAGCCCCGAGGAGAAGGACTTGGAGGTGTTGGTGGATGTTGAGCTTCTCACGAGCCAGTAACATGTGCTGTCAGGCGAGAAAGCCCCCCACATCCTGGGCTGCATCCCCAGCAGCGTGGCCAGCAGGGCCGGGGGGGGATTCTGCCCCTCTGCTCTGCTCTGGGGAGATCTCTCCCCAATGTTGTCTCCAGCTCTGGGGCCTCAGCTCAGGAGAGACATGGACCTGTTGGAGAGGGGCCAGAAGAGGCCACCATGGAGATGCTGGGAGGGCTGGAGCCCCTCTGCTGGGAGGACAGGCTGAGAGAGCTGGGGGGGTTCAGCCTGGAGAAGAGAAGGCTCCAGGGAGACCTTGGAGCCCCTTCCAGTCCCTCAAGGGGCTCCAGGAAAGCTGGGGAGGGACTCTTGATCAGGGAGGGGAGCCACAGGACAAAGGGGAATGGTTTTAAACCGAAAGAGGGGAGGATTGAGATGAGATGTGGGGAAAAACTTCTTTGGTGTGAGGGTGGTGAGAGCCTGGCCCAGGTTGCCCAGAGAAGCTGTGGCTGCCCCATCCCTGGAGGGGTTCAAGGGCAGGTTGGAGGGGGCTTGGAGCAACCTGGTCTGGTGGGAGGTGTCCCTGCCCAGGGCAGGTGGTTGGAACTGGATGATCTTTAAGGTCCCTTCTAACCCAAACCATTTTGTGATTCTACACCACAGTACTACCACCATTAAAAAAAACCCACCTGTCAGCTGTGCTATTTACAATAGGCAAGTTTAAACTTTTTCATCACTGATGTAGTAATCAGCACTGCCATATAATTAAATTGGCTGCAGTCACAGTATTAGCTAAACAAGGACAAACACTACTGCGGAGCCTTTGGAAAGAAAACATAGGGTGAAACAGTTGCAACAGAGAGCAAATAAATAGCTTCCCACTGAGAAGCCATAAACCCTGGTTTAAGAGTGAGAACCAAAACTTAATATGCTCTTGTATTTGCACAAGAGTCTTAACAGCCACACCATTTTAAAATATTCTATGTTTAAATGAAGTGTCTGTCTTAAAGAATGAAGTCAAGGCTTGTTTTCAGTAACCAGGCATTTTTTGAGGACTTCAAATGCTACACCTTAAGTCTTCCCAGAACAGCTCAGATGTCCATGCAACACAAGTGAGATAACAGTTCTTACTTGTCATGTCAAAAAAGCATTCCTTCTCAAAACTAAGCATTTTCCCACTTTGAGCATCCAAGTGTGAAAATTAAAAAGTTTAGAAGTTGAATTTCAGCTTGTCACCCGTGTTAACAAGCCAGAACAAATAGGAGTTACCCTCACCTTCTGTTCAAATGAAGCTCCGTAATAACCATCATTGAGACCAAAAATAATCTCGTTTGGGTTTCTTGCGTGTATCTGTAAGAAAAGAAGAAAACAAATCATTTTACGGTCACCTTACTATGACTTTACACTGCAAACAAGCTCTCTCTGATAGGCAAATCCAGTTTGTCATCCCCTGTAATTCTAGGCACAAGTGAAACCTAAGAGAAAATTGAATTTAACCATAGAAAATGCATTTGCTTCACAGCTTTAATAACAGTCACTGAGATGTTTGGCATTTCTACCTTGAAATCAGAAACACTGGCCAGAGCATCTTTCCTACTGCATTTCCAGCTGACAAAAATAACTAAGAGACCAGGAAACTAATCAAGGAGATAAGTCTGAAGAGTAATTAGCTTTTACTAGGTAATGATTTTCAGGCTGGATATTAGGAAAAATTTTTTCACTGAAAGGGTTATCAGCCATTGGAATGGGCTGCCCAGGGAGGTGGTTGAGGCACCATCCCTGGAGGTGTTCAAAAGCCACGTTGCTGTAGTGCTGGGAGGTATGGTTTAGTGATGGTGGTGCTTGTTTGTTGTGTGGGTGTATTTTTGTCAGTTAGGTTGATGGTTGGACAAGATAATCTTTAAGGTCCCTTCCAACCTAGAAGATTCTGTGATTCTGTGATTATTACCTAAAATGATACTCAAAGTCAAGCTTTTGTGGTCATAGTAGACACAAAATCAGCATTCAGTATTTTAGCTAATATCCTGCTATTAATGTAAAGAACATTATTTCAAATAAAATCATGCCCTAGAGAATATCCTTTCGGGAGCCATTTCTTCCGCCCAGTAAAAAAATGAGGAAAAAAAGCCACACTATGAAGGGAACTGGGTCTGGCAGCGATGGAGTTAATTTTCTTCATAGCAGTCCATATGGAGTGGTGTTTTAGATCTTTAGCGTTGGTATCACATCAGTGTTTTAGCTACTGCTGAGCAGCACTTGCACAGCATCAAGGTTCCCTCTGCTTCTCACTCTGCCCCCGCAGCGAGCGGGGCTGGGGGTGGGCAGAAGCTTGAGAGGGGACAGAGCTGTGACAGCTGATGCTGAGTGACCAAAGGGATATTCCATCCCATATCACATCGTGCACAGCAGTGAAAAAACAGGGGTAGCTGTTGATTGGGGACTAGCTGGCCATCAGTCTTCAGGTGGGAGGTGGTGACTGACTACACCTCTGCATCACTTGTGTGTTGTTCTTCCCTCCCTCTCCCTTTTTTATTTTTATTTTGTTTTTAAGTTATTAAACCGTCTTTATATCAAACCACAATTTTTTTTTCGCCTCATTTTTGCTCCTCTGACTGTCTCCCAGCCCACCATTGCAGGGGGTGCTGGCCAGGATCAATGCATCACGTAAAACTAGAGAAGTCATTCCCTATAAAGCTTTCTTCCCAGGCTTTGAAGCCCCCCAATTTAAAAATATACCATTTAGATTTGAAGTGAGATATAAACTATGATCTATTCTAAATAGATCCTACCAATTAATCAAAGTGCCGACTGGAACTAGAAGAATTTATTTGATTCAAAAGGCACCATATTTTTGGTGGGTTTATTATTTATGTGATATTCCTACCAATTAATCAAAGTGCCGACTGGAACTAGAAGAATTTATTTGATTCAAAAGGCACCATGTTTTTGGTGGGTTTATTATTATTTATGTGATATGGGTTTATTTTTGAGCCACTTTCACTATAAGCTCCACAATAGAGAAAACACCTCACTTTTCACCTCTTTCAAAAGGCCAGAGAGCAGAATTAAAACAGACCTTACACAGTAAGCTCCTTGGACTGAAGATCTTTGATGGGATGTCATGACTATGAGAATGGATTAAATCTGTAATATGCACAAACATCATGATCCCTGTTCATTTAACTACATGTACAATCATAATGTTATTTCCTTGAATGGAGACATTGCAATTTAAAGCACTGAGTGTATCATTTAAGAGCCTCAGTAAACAATGGTAGCTTAAAACATTCAGCCAGTCAAGATTTAAAGCTCTGAAGCAAGCTAACATGAACCTCTGCAATTGAACTTTAAGATACACCCTTCAAATGCAATTAATTTCCTTTCTTAGCATTCTATGTATTTTTTCATCCAGATGTTTTGTTTCCTTATGGAAAAAATTGAGGGAAAAATGTTTTCACGTTACCTGCTGGCCCAAGTACTTTAACCCATCTAGATTGACCTTCCATTCGATCAAAAGCTGAAAGTGCTCCTTCTTCCCACCCCAGATCCTCACGACAAAACAGGAGACAGAGGTATCGAGACGATCGGGCATTATTCCAAAGTCCAGACTCCTCCATGTGGGATTCTGCAGGTATCCAAAGAGGGATAAAAAAAAAAATAATAACTCAAGCTGAAAGTACTGCTAAAATTGACAATTCAGAAAGCAGCAAAGTTCATGTCAAAGATTAAAAAAAACACCTTAAGAATCATGAACACCAGCCATCTCAAAGTTTACAAAAAGTTGAAGCCAATAAGCTCTGCTGCTTCCTTTTTCTGTTTTCTAGAGAGAATTCTTGGGTGAAAAGCCACATGCTGTAAAGTACTTTAGAAACTCAGAGTGGGCTCTGCTTCTTTCCATTACGAGATGTTGAAGAATTTACTTCAGAATCAACTAATTCAGCTTAGCCACATCAGGAACTTTAAAAGTGGAAGTAACATTCCTTTCCGAGTTATAATTCAGCTTCTGAAAACAAGGGCACAGCTTACATTGCAAAAGTTAGAATTTAAAAAGCTGATCCATTCCCCAATAATTAAGTTTGCATAATTTATTGGCAGGTTTAAGTCACATTCTTCTCCTCCTTGACTGATGCTGACGGCAACCCTCAAACCTTGTCACCAAGAGCTCTTCTTCACTCCAGGAGATCAGACATCCATCTCAAGCTTTATAGAAGCAGCACAAATTAAACTGCAAACATCTATTCCACTAGAACTCAGATTTGCAAACACAACACATTCCAAGAACTTGGACTCACCTTTGATAACATTTCAATTAAAGATTTATGGGACCTGTTGTAACTGGCCCAAACTGCAACCAAACCAAGTCAATCCAACACCTACAAGTGCCGAGAGCCAGATACCAACTTTAGGACTTCCACAGGCCATAAATCAGTGGGTGTCCAAATGCAGAAATGGGAAAGTGCTTTTTATATGTATCTATCTTCCTCCTCGCCCACAAACAGCAACGGTAGCTCCTCCAAAACAAAAGCAGAAGGTAGGAACCACCCATCATCCCAGTAGGCACTGGTCCAGGTTGGCCAGAGAAGCTGTGGCTGCCCCATCCCTGGAGAGGTTCAAGGCCAGGCTGGATGGGGTGGGAGCAACCTGGTCTGGTGGGAGGTGTCCCTGCCCATGGAAAGGGGCTAGGACTGGATGGTCTTTAAGGTCCCTTCCAACCCAAACCATTCTATGACTATCTCATGAAAGAGCAAGCCTTTCCTTCTAGTGCTTAAGCAGCCTGGAACAGGCCAAGCATCTCTGAACAATTAGTATAAGGCAATTTAGAATAAGATGCCTCTAAAAAGAAGGGAGGGGCAGAGTTACCCACTATTACAGAAGGAATGCATTAATCAAGTTTTCCTAAGGAGAAGGGATATTTGGTGGCTATTCAGGCACAAGGATACCAGGTCATTAAAATACCCATAGATTATGTACGGAATTCACTCAAGACATCCTTTATTTAAGATTTTTATCATTCCATCTTATATTTCCTTTGCTTAGATTCCCTTTTTGTTATTCATTTTCCTGATGTAGAATAGGCAGAATTCAACATTCTGAAGTCCCAAGAAACCTGTCTCTTGGACAAGTTAACAGCCTTGTGGATGTAGAGAGCTCTTCCTCCATTAAGGAGGTTTTCGAAGCATTTACAACCCAGCGTGCTATAAATATTACCTTTTATGTTACTACCTTTTCTACATTGTTAACTCAGACATTAAAAAGTCTGTTCAGCAGGTTTTCAAACTCCCTTACCCAACACTTGCAACATCCTGCTCCCACAAACAGACCTACCCCTTCTCAAGCACAATAAACTGTTCAGTTGTGGTCCCTTTGCTGACCTGAGCTGGAAAAATTAGGAACTGAGACTTTTCAAACTTCAGTTTCTTAAAGCTATTCACTCTTCAAAGAATATACACGTTTATATATGAAGGTAGATGTTCCTTAGTGTTCACCTATACAATAAAAAGCTTTTCAAAGGAAATCAGTGGTATATTTTGCAACGCTTTTTGACTCTCCCTTTATTTGGGGTGTTGCAAGCAGGACCTCTGCTTCTACTCCAAGGTGGTTAAACCACACAGCATAAGCTTCTAATGAATCTGTACACCCAGCAAAGTGCTTCTTGAATAAGCAACTGGCAGACATTTAAATAAGAACAGCTATTTCTGTTGATAACACCAGCAAGAAGAGGGAAAAAAAAAAAAGATGAACTGTAAACAAACCTAAGTTGTGATACATACAATTCTCTGAAATTAGTTAAACCAGTAAAAATCCAGCTCACCTTGCCCGTTTGGTGTTCTCAATACTTAAAATAGATATATATTGTAAAGCTTGACCTGAGCACTGAAGAGTTTTCACATTAAAATCCCCTACCCTTGGGTCATTTCGTCCTGTCTGCAGGAGTACAGACAGAGCATTACTCCACAGCTGTTAAAAATAAAATGCATTTCTACTATTCAGTAACTCCCTATTCCAACCTTGTGAAAAGAACCTAAAAAGGAGAAAAATGTGCAGAACTGAGGAGTGGAAAGACACGTTTAACAGTTATGGTATTCAGCAAAGAAATCGATATACTGCAATAAATACATAATTTTTAAAAGAAAGGTTTTCCATATTAAAATAACTTACCAGAGAATTCTTGATCACCTCACTCTTATAAAATTCTAAAGAAAAAGGAGTAAAAACAACACCTTTAGGTTAGCTTAAACACTGATAAAATTTTAGCATTTGAAATAGAAAAAGCTATAATAAGTAACACTCACGGAAGACAAATGCTAGTGGGCCTAGTTTATCAGTAACACATTCATGAGAAAGACTTGAAAATGCAGTCATGCCTTTGACCAAAAGTACTCATTCACACCTCATTATTACAAGTCATTATTTAAATTTAGCATTTCATCTTTATACCCAAGATAATCCTCAAGATTTACTTGAGGTTTTGGTTTCTGGGGAAAGAACATACTTTGGTATTTTACAATATTTGGATGACATTTGCCAAGTGACAGGTTTGTCGTATGACATCTTCCTGGAAGAGCGCAGCGGGGATGGACTAATTGCTCCGCTTTCCTGAAGAGCAAGGGTGACCTGTTCCAGATGCTTAGAAAGTGAACAGCCAAATTACCCCACCGAGGCGCCAAGAACCCTGTATTTAAATGGAAATAAGCAACTGCTGACACAGGGACCTTGGCTTTCCCAGCCAAAATAAGAGCTTAAAAGTCTTTAGGTAGACAGCTCTGGAGGTTGGAATGCAGATTTTGTACAACAGCCCTCGGTCTACTGGAGTCCAAGGACAAAGCTTTGATGGAGTACTGTGTCCAGTTCTGGGCTCCCCAGTTCAAGGACAGGAACTGCTGGAGAAGGTGCAGTAAAAGGGCAACAAAGATGATTAGGGGACTAGAACATCTCTCTTATGAGGAAAGGCTGAGGGACTTGGGGCTTTTTAGTCTGGAGAAGAGAAGGATGAGGAGGGACCTCATCAATGCTTCTAAAATATCTAAAGGGCAGGTGGCAAGAGGATGAGACCAGTCTTTTTTCAGTGGTGCCCAGTGACAGGACAAGAGGAAATGGGCACAAACTTGACCATAAGAAGTTCCACCTAAACATGAGGAAAAACTTCTTTCTTGTGAGGGTGGCAGAGCCCTGGAAGAGGCTGCCCAGGGAGGTGGTGGAGTCTCCTTTGCTGGAGATATTCAAAACCTGCCTGGACACATTCCTGTGGGACCTGCTCTGGGTGGCCCTGCTCTGGCAGGCCCTGCTCTGGCAGGGGGTTGGACGAGATGATCTCCAGAGGTCCCTTCCAACCTTGACCATTCTGTGATTCTGTGAGTGCAGAACAGGCCTGTACATCAAACACTGCAGAAACAGTGATCTATTATAGGTTCAACCAACCACCTCAAGAAAGCCCAGGGAGCAAGCTCAACTTAGGTATTCTTATCTTTCTAAAACAGCAACCTCGAAAAAAAGCGAGGTTCAACTACACTAGCTGAAAATAAAAATTAGGAGAAAGAAAAAAATTCACCTGCAAAGCTCCAACTGTTGATCATATCACAAGAAGCACTAAAATACATTTTTTTAATAACATCTCTCCACCATGAAAAAAAAACAACTATACATTGTAGTGGAAAGCAAAGCATTAGAGAAAAATGAGACCAAACACTCAAATACAGTTATCAAAAGCAGAATAGATGCCTGGATGCTTCTTGTCATTGGCTGAGAGTTGTGGTTTCAAATCATTTTTTTAATAATAAGTGCTGGTTTATGTTCCATAAAATAACTGGTACGCACGAAGTGGAACACTCTCCCCCACACAAAGCAACCAAGGCCTCAAAAGTTCTTCTGTGCTCTTGGAAGTTCCCAAATTTCTTAAGTTATCGGTGGGGGGACAAAAAGAGACTGATTTAAGGGATAATACTAGATCTGTCATCTGTTTTGCTTCTGTGCCTGCTAACACTGAAAGGCTTTATGAAGTTCAGGAAAATAAAATGTTCTTTTCCACTGATAGGATCAGGATGCAAATAATGACAACAGATTGTCATGGCAAAAAAAAAAAAAAAGAGAGAATTCAGACCATAAGAATTCAATGATTAACTAGTAAAAAAGCTGACAGGGAGCCTGGTTTACCTTTGTATATCTTGGTGTTATCACACAAGTGAAGAGTGAAGTATGTATCCAAGAGGCGATAACCATTCTTATTGATGATGTTACGTGCCGCGATGTTCCGAAGATGACGAAGCCGGCGCTGAAAAGAAGAATAAAAACTAAATAGTTAAAGAATTCTCTTAGATTGAAATTGAACCTCTTTTTTTTTTTTTGGTATTAAAGTATTTTAATGATTTCCAAAGCCCCATTGTCAAAAAAATCCCACCAAACACTCAATTTTCTTTGGCAGAAAGCTGGTGTGAGCTATAAGCATTCAGCAAAGCTGACTGGACAAGCAACACCAGCACCTACGAGCCCTGATTAAGCAACACTGATCTCCAAGACAGGCTATTCTTACTCACGTCCCATACATAATTTTTATTCCACGTGTCTAAATCACCCCAACCATTCGAGCAGTTTCAAGCAAGTATGTGACACTCTTAGCATCAAACGGCAGCGGCATCACCCAGGTGTTCTGCATCATCAGGCTGGAAACACTTCCCAGCCAAAGCTAATTTCAACAAGCACCAGTGGACAACGAGCTCCAAGATAAACCACCACCTAATCCAGAGCCAGAAGGAACTGGCTGAACAAAGCTTCCTGAATTCACAGCAAACCTGGAAACCGCTCTAACCACCTGAAATAAAATAACATCAGACGGAGCATATCTAGATTTTTCAGGGAAAATTAAGACAAATTTGTGATGGCTGTCAGCTACCTTCTGCTTGGATAACTGAGTCCTTTTCTCTTGGATTGAATAAACTAAAGATTTTAGTGACATATTCCAGTGTAAGTGATTTCATCCAACTTCAACACTACCTTAGTTTGCTACGATACTGTATCTCGAATGAAAATCATCAGATTGAACCAATTCCACACACAAACACCCTCCACCCACCAAGTGCCAAATAGCTGTAATAGTTGCGGTTAAAATCCTCAGCTTCTAAGCATACTACGCCCTTTGTCTTTGACAAATATTTAACATCACTAGCTTCTTGTTAAATTTAACTAGTTAACCAAGCCATTTTGTAGGACTGTCCAGTCACTCTTAAATCACTGCTTCGTTGTGGTTCTTAAATTTTAACTTTGACAACCATGAACTTAACACTCGAACAGCCACTCCAAATATATAAAGTTCTCACTGAATCCTTTAATATCACGTTCTCCCAACCAATTTCTCAACCCACCACTGTCTCACTCAACTACCACAGGGGGGTTGATAAACAGCTCTCTATCCTTTTTGGATCACCACAAACCTCAAAAAACTAGTTTAGCATCTCCTTTTACTGCAGATTTCATTTTACAGTACACTTCTGTTTCCCCAAAAGCTTGTTAATTTTTAAGTCTGGATCCACCTTAACAGAAACACGCTCACATTGACCAAAGTCAGAATTTAAAATGCTTTTGAAACCAAAAGACAGCTTTTCTATTTGCAGCTTGTCCTAAAACGCTTTTAACAAGAGTTGAAAGGCCATCATCTGTTTTGGAATCACAATATGACATTTTATATCACTTAATATCACTCAAGTGATGTATTAGCTTCCCTTACTGGAACGATACAAGAAGAATATTAAATTTCTCTTCATGTGACAGACCCAAAACCTCCAGTAGATTCATTTCAGCAAAGTCTATTTATGAGTTAGACTAAAAACAGAGTCTGAAACAGGATGCCCAGATACCTCTAGCAATATATAAATTATAAAAATAATAAATAAACAAGAAAAAAACCCAAACACCACTTTTCAGCTGTTTCATTGCAGAACTACACGGTCTTATTTTGTTAGAAATCAATAGAAAGATTAAGCCTCACTTAAAAAAAAATAAATACATGGACTTTGTACATTATTTCAATTATAACCTTATAGTTATCTAATCCTATTTTTATAAGCAACTTGAACATCTCTTAAGAAATAGCTTTGAACACATGTTGCACTCCCTATAAAAATGATTCAAGGGTTTTATGGGCCATCTCTCTCCTTTAATTGGCTTCAGTAGCAAACAAATCAATCATCTGCCACGCTCATTCCTCCCTTCATTTTTTATTTATTTATTTTCTTTAATCCCTTAAACCCAAGAAGAATAGCCCACATGGCATCTAATAAAGAGGGTAACTTTCTCCAGATCTTTTTGGGATTGCAAACCAATAGTGTGACTGGTTTAAGCAGCAGGTTACAATGAAGCAGCCCCTCAAGCAAAGCCAAACAAGTGTCTCATCTTCTACTACATGCGATGAGATTTGGAAAAAGCTGTTGAGTGTCATACCTACACCTGAGTCCTTATTGCCATGGCTGGTGACTTCTTTGCACCCTCCAAAGGCTGGAATTTATCCTGAAGTCTAAAGTTTGACTTCTCCCAAATCAGTTGGAAGAGGAACATTAATTGGGGCTCCGAGACCACACAACACAGTTCGGGACTCAACACACACCAGGTAATGAATGTCTAATTAAATCTCCAACTTCACTCTTAGCATCAAACGGCAGCGGCATCACCCAGGTGTTCTGCATCATCAGGCTGGAAACACTTCCCAGCCAAAGCTAATTTCAACAAGCACCAGTGGACAACGAGCTCCAAGATAAACCACCACCTAATCCAGAGCCAGAAGGAACTGGCTGAACAAAGCTTCCTGAATTCACAGCAAACCTGGAAACCGCTCTAACCACCTGAAATAAAATAACATCAGACGGAGCATATCTAGATTTTTCAGGGAAAATTAAGACAAATTTGTGATGGCTGTCAGCTACCTTCTGCTTGGATAACTGAGTCCTTTTCTCTTGGATTGAATAAACTAAAGATTTTAGTGACATATTCCAGTGTAAGTGATTTCATCCAACTTCAACACTACCTTAGTTTGCTACGATACTGTATCTCGAATGAAAATCATCAGATTGAACCAATTCCACACACAACACACCCACCAAGTGCCAAATAGCTGTAATAGTTGCGGTTAAAATCCTCAGCTTCTAAGCATACTACGCCCTTTGTCTTTGACAAATATTTAACATCACTAGCTTCTTGTTAAATTTAACTAGTTAACCAAGCCATTTTGTAGGACTGTCCAGTCACTCTTAAATCACTGCTTCGTTGTGGTTCTTAAATTTTAACTTTGACAACCATGAACTTAACACTCGAACAGCCACTCCAAATATATAAAGTTCTCACTGAATCCTTTAATATCACGTTCTCCCAACCAATTTCTCAACCCACCACTGTCTCACTCAACTACCACAGGGGGGTTGATAAACAGCTCTCTATCCTTTTTGGATCACCACAAACCTCAAAAAACTAGTTTAGCATCTCCTTTTACTGCAGATTTCATTTTACAGTACACTTCTGTTTCCCCAAAAGCTTGTTAATTTTTAAGTCTGGATCCACCTTAACAGAAACACGCTCACATTGACCAAAGTCAGAATTTAAAATGCTTTTGAAACCAAAAGACAGCTTTTCTATTTGCAGCTTGTCCTAAAAAGCTTTTAACAAGAGTTGAAAGGCCATCATCTGTTTTGGAATCACAATATGACATTTTATATCACTTAATATCACTCAAGTGATGTATTAGCTTTCCTTACTGGAACGATACAAGAAGAATATTAAATTTCTCTTCATGTGACAGACCCAAAACCTCCAGTAGATTCATTTCAGCAAAGTCTATTTATGAGTTAGACTAAAAACAGAGTCTGAAACAGGATGCCCAGATACCTCTAGCAATATATAAATTATAAAAATAATAAATAAACAAGAAAAAAACCCAAACACCACTTTTCAGCTGTTTCATTGCAGAACTACACGGTCTTATTTTGTTAGAAATCAATAGAAAGATTAAGCCTCACTTAAAAAAAAATAAATACATGGACTTTGTACATTATTTCAATTATAACCTTATAGTTATCTAATCCTATTTTTATAAGCAACTTGAACATCTCTTAAGAAATAGCTTTGAACACATGTTGCACTCCCTATAAAAATGATTCAAGGGTTTTATGGGCCATCTCTCTCCTTTAATTGGCTTCAGTAGCAAACAAATCAATCATCTGCCACGCTCATTCCTCCCTTCATTTTTTATTTATTTATTTTCTTTAATCCCTTAAACCCAAGAAGAATAGCCCACATGGCATCTAATAAAGAGGGTAACTTTCTCCAGATCTTTTTGGGATTGCAAACCAATAGTGTGACTGGTTTAAGCAGCAGGTTACAATGAAGCAGCCCCTCAAGCAAAGCCAAACAAGTGTCTCATCTTCCACTACACGCAATGAGATTTGGAAAAAGCTGTTGAGTGTCATACCTACACCTGAGTCCTTATTGCCATGGTTGGTGACTTCTTTGTACCCTTCAAAGGCTGGAATTTATCCTGAAGTCTAAAGTATGACTTCTCCCAAATCAGTTGGAAAAGGAACATTAATTGGGGCTCTGAGACCACACAACACAGTTCAGACCAAAAGTACTCATTCACACCTCATTATTACAAGTCATTATTTAAATTTAGCATTTCATCTTTATACCCAAGATAATCCTCAAGATTTACTTGAGGTTTTGGTTTCTGGGGAAAGAACATACTTTGGTATTTTACAATATTTGGATGACATTTGCCAAGTGACAGGTTTGTCGTATGACATCTTCCTGGAAGAGCGCAGCGGGGATGGACTAATTGCTCCGCTTTCCTGAAGAGCAAGGGTGACCTGTTCCAGATGCTTAGAAAGTGAACAGCCAAATTACCCCACCGAGGCGCCAAGAACCCTGTATTTAAATGGAAATAAGCAACTGCTGACACAGGGACCTTGGCTTTCCCAGCCAAAATAAGAGCTTAAAAGTCTTTAGGTAGACAGCTCTGGAGGTTGGAATGCAGATTTTGTACAACAGCCCTCGGTCTACTGGAGTCCAAGGACAAAGCTTTGATGGAGTACTGTGTCCAGTTCTGGGCTCCCCAGTTCAAGGACAGGAACTGCTGGAGAAGGTGCAGTAAAAGGGCAACAAAGATGATTAGGGGACTAGAACATCTCTCTTATGAGGAAAGGCTGAGGGACTTGGGGCTTTTTAGTCTGGAGAAGAGAAGGATGAGGAGGGACCTCATCAATGCTTCTAAAATATCTAAAGGGCAGGTGGCAAGAGGATGAGACCAGTCTTTTTTCAGTGGTGCCCAGTGACAGGACAAGAGGAAATGGGCACAAACTTGACCATAAGAAGTTCCACCTAAACATGAGGAAAAACTTCTTTCTTGTGAGGGTGGCAGAGCCCTGGAAGAGGCTGCCCAGGGAGGTGGTGGAGTCTCCTTTGCTGGAGATATTCAAAACCTGCCTGGACACATTCCTGTGGGACCTGCTCTGGGTGGCCCTGCTCTGGCAGGCCCTGCTCTGGCAGGGGGTTGGACGAGATGATCTCCAGAGGTCCCTTCCAACCTTGACCATTCTGTGATTCTGTGAGTGCAGAACAGGCCTGTACATCAAACACTGCAGAAACAGTGATCTATTA